AGAGAGACAGAGCATGAACGGGCGAGGGGCAGAGAGAGAGGGAGACACAGAATCGGAAACAGGCTCCAGGCTCTGAGCCATCAGCCCAGAGCCCAACGCGGGGCTCGAACTCACGGACCGCGAGATCGTGACCTGGCTGAAGTCGGACGCTGAACCGACTGCGCCACCCAGGCGCCCCTCACAAACCGTAGTTTAAATAATTTATGAAGCATATAATAAAGAACTGTTCCAACAACTAATCTTCACAGAATCACCTATTTCTCAGCTCCCTCCCCTACCTCTTCTACCAGCCCTTGGCATAGATAATGATTTCCTGTGGGGTCAGGATTTGAATTTGAAACTGGTCATTTGAACACCCACTTGGTTTTCATGTAGTTTATTCTTTTTTTTAATGTTTATTTATTTATTGCGGGGAGGGGCAGAGAGAGAGAGAGAGAGAGAGAGAGAGAATCCCAAGCAGGCTCTGCTTTGTCAGCACAGCCCCACTAATGTGGGGCTTGAACTCATGAACCATGAAATCATGACCTGAGCCCAAATCAAGAGTAAGATGCTTAACCGACTGAGCCACCCAGGCACCCCTCATGTAGTTTAATTTTTTTTAATTAAGTAATTTGTTTTGAGAGAGAGCGTGCACGCATAAGTGGGGGAAGGGCAGAGAGAGGGAGAGAGAGAGAATCCCAAGCAGGCTCCATGCTGTCAGAGCAGAGCCCAATGCAGGGCTCGATTCCACGAACTGTGAGATCAAGACCTGAGCAGAAAGCAAGAGTCGTATGCTTAACTGACTGAGCTACCCAGATGCCCCTCGTGTAGTTTAAATAAACCATTTCTGACTTATTTTCTCTTTTAGATATCTGCAAGGTGCTTTTCTGAAATATAAATACCACTGATTCAACAAACATTTCCTCTTCAAAGCACTGTGTTAATACAGCGGTTCAAGGTACAACATGCATTGTGCTTTCAAGGGGATTTTATATCCTTGATAGAAAATGAGAAAAGCACATTAATTTTTCCTTATGCTGTTCACTATTGAATATTCCTCAGTACCTTGCCTTTTTAACTATCTCACCACTTCTGCCTGGTGTATTTCTTCAAGCCTGATACCATACTGTTTGAAAGTTTTACAAGCATGCTATTTGGCTTTAAAAGTTTATCTCGTTACTTATAATTTCCACTCGTGACTGGGATAAATTGCTTTTTTTTTTTTTTTATTTTTTTTTTCAACATTTATTTATTTTTGGGATAGAGAGAGACAGAGCATGAACGGGGGAGGGGCAGAGAGAGAGGGAGACACAGAATCAGAAACAGGCTCCAGGCTCTGAGCCATCAGCCCAGAGCCTGACGCGGGGCTCGAACTCACGGACCGCGAGATCGTGACCTGGCCGAAGTCGGACGCTCAACCGACTGCGCCACCCAGGCGCCCCAATAAATTGCTTTTAATTGCTAGTTATTTCCATTGGAGAACAATCATGAAAAAATGAAAAACAGGTAGAAGAAAAAACTGCTAGAAGCTAAGAGCATAGAAATTAAACTCCTACAATGGAATCTCATAACATTTCCCCAAATAGCAAAATAATAAAAATAAAATAAAAATAACCCAAACCAAACCAAAAAACAGCGCTGTGAGGTACTGAAGGCAAGAAACTGGATCACATAACTACCTGGGGTCTTATTTACTTTTAAACTCTGCAAAGTCAAAGTTCACAGCCTTGGAGGAACCTGTATCTGTTTGACTTTTTAAAAGCAAGTGATGTTAACAATCTGGGGCATAGTGTGGAAAGTCAGACTTAGTTGCAGAAGTCTGTGATAACATAAAATTCAATTTAGAAAAATATAAGCACATTAAGGCAATAAAGAGACAATCTGTATTTGAATTTTAACTGATAACATATGTACTCCTTGGGCTATCCCACTAACCTCCCAAAAATCCAATTTTCACTATAATAATCATTCTCATAGAAAATAGAAAGAAAAACACCATTTGAACAAATTTCAGAATAGTGTAGTGATTAGGCACATGGCTTCAGAGGAAAACAGCTCTGGATTTGAATCTTACTTCTGCTTACTAGCTCTGGACCCAGGCACATTTCCTAACTCCTCAGCCTCAGTTTTCTTACTCGCAAATGTAGTTCCTACTTCACAAGGTGGTTGTGAAGATTAAGTGAGATAAACTTATAGTAATGTACCTACTCATTATGGTAGGCAGAACGATGGCATCCCAAAGACATCACATCCTAGTCCCTGGAACCTGTAAATATGTTACATGACATGGCAAAGAATTAAGTGTGCATGGACAATATGCATGGACTTTGGGGCAATTATTGCAAGTGAATTAAGTCAGACATGAAAAGACAAATACTATATGATCTTACTTATATATGGAATCTAAAACAAACAAAAATGAACTCAGATACAGAGAACAGGTTCGTGGTTGACAGCATCAGGGATTGGGGAGAGGGTAGATGAAATGAGTGAAGGTGGTCACAAGCTACAAGCTTCCATTTATAAAATAAATAAGTCATAAGATGTAATGTACAGCATGGTGACTACAATTAATAATGCTGTATTGTATATTTGAAAGCTGCTAAGAGAGTAGATCTTAAAATTTATCATAACAAGAAAAACGTAACTGTGTGGTGATGGATGTCAACTAGACTTGGAGTGATTATTTAGCAGTCTATCGAATCATGATGCTGTACACTTGAAACTAATGTCATATGTTAATTATATCTCATTTTAAAAAATTAATTTTAAGAAGGTTATATGAAATAAAGATTGCTAATCAGCTGACCTTAAGATAGGAAGAATATCCTGGATTTTCTGAGTGGGTCCCAGATGATCACAAGGGTCCTCAAAAGTGGAAGAAGAAGAAGGCAAAAGAAGAGTTAGAGAAAAAGATGTGACTATGGAAGGATGGTTGGAGAGATACAACATTGCTGGCTTTGAAGGTGGAAAAGGGGGCCTCAAGCCATGGAATGTGGGTGGTCTCTAGAAACTGGAAAAGGCAAGAAAATGGATTCACTCATAGAGCCTGCAAAAGGGTGCATCCCTGCTGACACGTTAATTTTAGCTCAGTGACACTGATGTCAGACTTCAAACCTAGAGGGCTAAAAATGTGGTTTTAAGTCTCTAAATTTGTGGTAATTTGTTACAGCAGCAGATTAAAAAACAAGTTAGATATATAGATACATCAGCAACTCTACCAAAGTTGCAGTGTGAGGGCAAGTGTGGCATATAGAGAATTGTCTCCCTCCCTCACTCCACTTGGTTTTAGAAAACATGCCAACTCACAAACTTTTCCATTTTTATTTTCTTTATATAACTAATTGCAAGAGTTCAATTTACCATGCCACAGGATTATTCTCCAAGCAATCTAAGTGCTGTTGGCTAACAACTTACTTAACCCATTATGGGTCCTTGATGATGGCAGATGACAGTTACAGAATATAAATTTTACCTAAGTACTATCTGGTTTCATATATTTTATTTAATTATTTTTATTTATTATTTTAAAAATTTATCTTATTTTTTTAACTAAATTCTACCACAGCATGGGGCTCAAACTCACAACAACCCCAAGATCAAGAGTCCCATGCTCTACCTATTGAGCCAGCCAGGTACCCCTGGTTTCTTATATTTTTATTTGTGTCTAGACACCTGAGAATATCATACAAATTAGTTGTGAATTAACTATCCCAGAGACTTACAGGAATAGCCCTGTCATCTCCTGAGAGGTGAGCACAGCAGTTGTCAAAGGAGGCAGGCCACACTCACTGAGTCCTTTCTGCCTCTTCTTGGCTTTATCAGAAACACATTATATACATTATCGCCTTTAATCCACATAACCATGCCATCATCATCCCCTTTTTACAGATAAAGGAACAGAAATTCAAAGAGGTGAAATAACCCTACCCAGGTCACATGGCAGGAAAGTGGCAGAGCTGAGTCCATTTGATTTGAAGCCCTGGTGTTTCTAGAGCCTTCAATGTCAATAGGTGGTTCTGGGTGAAAGGCAGCAAGGACCAGGTGTAGAAGTTTACAAACTCAAATGCCTAAAGCACCTGGGAAGCACCTCTAATGGTGAGTGTCAGAAGAGGTGAAAGTGAGGTGATAAATGGCAACTGACCATCAGTCTTTATGAGTGGCAAGAGGTGCATGCCCTCTCTAAATGGAATGGCTGATGGCTGCTACCAGCTGATTGTTGCTATGTGAGCACAAAGCCCCAATTGGCCAGATCCACTAATGTGAAATGGCATAATTCCAAAATGCTAGGAATGAATTGAGATTTTCTTAAAATGCTGTGCAGGCCAAATGAGCCACATCTATCAAGCAAATTTTCCCCATCGGCTACCATTTGAGACCAGTAGTATTAATCCCTAGGACACAGGGAGTGGTCCCTAGTCTTGCTAAAAGAGAAGCTATGGAAAGGATTGAATTAGATTCTGATTGAGCTCACTGAGTGAAGAAATACCCTAATCTAAAGAACAAGGGAGGCTTATTCCAAGGCATTGAGGCACATTAAAGAAGGGAATATGACTCAACTTTTTCACAGAATCTTCTTAAGGAGACCAATAATTGGGGCGCCTGGGTGGCTCAGTTGGTTTAGCGTCGGGCTCTTGATTTCAGCTCGGGTCATGATCCCAGGGTCCTGAGTATGGAACCTGCTTAAGATTTTCTCTCTCCTTCTGTTCCTCTTCCACTTGCACTCACTCTCTCTCTCTCAAATAAAAATAAATAAAAGTCATCTTTTCTTAAAAAAAAAAAGGAGACCAATAATTAAAGCAACTCTAAACACATCAACCCATCTGGGTTTGCTGATACATAAGCACTTTTCGGTGAATCATCATTGATAGATATGCTTATCTGCCATATATCTGTACATGATCATTAGAAGCCAGATTATTTTAATTTTTAAATAGAAAACAGCTTAATAACATGAATCTAATTACATATATATGCAAAAAGCCTGACATATAATATCTGTCGAGTAAGAAGAAATGGCATGACTTTGAAAATATTTATTCAAAATAGTACAATATCAAAAATAAAAACTACACTTAAAATTTGCTGATACATATATTAAGCAGAAAGCTCTGGTTTGAGAAACACAGAAATAGTTGCAGGACACACTGAGGGATGAACTGATGTAGGAGAAATGCAAGTTGTACAATAGATATCATCTTCGCAGAGCTCTGCAGCCATGGTATAGGTATGGAGGAGACAGCCGCATTAAACCGGGGTTAGGAAGGTTGAAGAGAAGGACAATGGAGGAGGTGAAAAGAGCCCAAGTGGGGGCCAAGCCATTTACACTTATTAAGGAAAGGAGGAGGCAACAGACAGAAGGATGAGACCAAGAGCAAGGGGGACTTGAACAGGTATAGAGTGAGGTTAACAAAAACTTACTACACGTTTACACTATTAATAATAGTTTACATTTGAGGTGACTGGATGACTCAGTCAGTTAAGCATCCAATTTCAGCTCAGGTCATGATCTCGTGGTCCATGGGTTCTAGCTCCAAGTTAGGCTCTATGCTGACAGCTTGGAGCCTGGAGCCTGCTTCGGATTCTGTGACTCCTGTGCTCACTTCGGTAGCACGTGTACTAAAACTGGAACAATACAGAGAAGATTAGCCCGCCCCTGTGCAAGGGTGACGTGCAAATTTGGATCCTGTGACTCCCTCTCTCTCTTCCCTTCCCCTGCTCGTGGCCTCTCTCTCTCTCTCAAAAATAAATAAACATTAAAAAATTAAAAAAAAAAGTTTAAATTTTAAAGTACACTATAATTTTTTGGGGTGCCTGGGTGGCTCAGTCGGTTAAGCATCCGACTTCAGCTCAGGTCATGATCTCATGGTTCGTGGGTTCGAGCCCCGCATTGGGCTCTGTGCTGAAAGCTCAGAGCCTGGACCCTGCTTTGGGTTCTGTGTCTCTCTTTCTCTCTGCTGGTGTGCCCTCTCTCTCTCAAAAATAAATTAAAAAAATTTTTTTAAAAATTTAAGTACACTGTAATTTTCAAAGCATTTTTTAAAAGACTATTTTTTAAAGCAGTTTTAGGTTCATAACAACATTGGGTGGAAAGTGTAGAGGTCTTATATAACCCGTCCCCACACATGCACAACCTGCCCCATCAGAGTGGTACATTCATTATCATGGATGAACCTACATTGACACATCATTATCATCAAAGTCTATGGTTTACATTAGGGTTCACTCTTGTTGCATATTCTGTGGACTTGGACAAATGTATAATAACATGTTTTCACCATTACAGTATCCTACAAAACAGTTTCATTGCCCTGAAATCCTTTGAGCTCTGCCTATTCATCCCTCCCTTCCTCCCAACCCCTGGAAACCACTGATCTTTTAACTATCTCCATAGTTTTGCCTTTTTCAGATTGTCATATGGCTGGAATCATATGGCTTCTTTTACTTAGTGACATGCATTAAAGTCCCCTCCCCCCAATCTTTTCATGGTTTAATAGCTCATTTGTTTTTAGAATTAAATAATTTTCTATTGAGGGGTGCCTGGGTGGCTCAGTTGGTTGAGCGTCCGACTCTTGATTTTGGCTCAGGTCATGATCCCAGAGTCATTGGATCAACTCCCACATCGGGCTCTGTGCTGAGCATGGAGCCTGCTTAAGTTTCTCTCTCTTTCCCTCTCTCTCTCTCTCTCTCCCCCTCTGCCCCTCTCCCCTGCTCACACACTCTCTTTATCTAAAATAAAAATTAATTTTTATTGTCTGTATGTACTACAGTTTGTCCATTCACCAACTGAAAAACATCCTGGCTGCTTCCAAGTTTGCGCAGTTATGAACAAAGCTGTTATAAATTCCATGTTCAGATTTGTGTGTGTGAACAATACATTTTAACCTTCATAGTCTGAATATAGAACAAGTGTTCTAAGTCAAATCCTAACCAGTCAAATATAACTGGTAGAGTTTATCCTTTGAATATCCTTTGAAACAACAGACAATATGTTACTATGTTAGGAATGAAAAATTCTAAATTGATTTCAACTCATGTTTTGAGGAATGAACTCTCTGTTTTGTCATTTCCCCCCATCTTGTCTCTGCTTCACCCCTTCCCAACCTGGAACACAGCATGATACAGTGGATCAGTGGATGGTGTAGCCAGGACTTTTGTGTTTGTTTCTGTTTGACTATTTGAAGCTCTGACGCTTATGAGCAATGTGACTTGCAGCAAGTTAGTCAACATCTTTGGGCCTCTTCTGCCTCATCTGTAAAGCAGGGGTTTTTAATAGTGCCTACCTCATGGATGAAATGAGTTTATGTCAATAAACTCTTAGAATAATTACCTGGCACATAAGTGTTTGTCAAATAAAATGAAATATATGTACGTGGATCTCTTGTATGAATGATGGTCTCCCAGGCTTATATACAATTCTGAATTGTGCTGTTGAGTCAAACTGTCAGGTCTGCAATTTGTTTTTATCCTACTTACAAGCCAACAAGTTAACCTTTACTGTTTTACAGATGCTGAAAGAAGACATGGAATATCTGAGGAAGAGGGGGAAAAAACTTTTATAAAAGTTTATTTATTTATTTTGAGAGAGAAAGGAGAGAGAGAGAAAGAGAGAGAGAGCAGGGTCGGGCAGAGAGAAAGAGAGAGAGAATCCCCAGGCAGGGCTTGAACTCATGAACTGTAAGATCATGACCTGAGCTGAAACCAAGAGTTGACGTTCAACAGACTGAGCCACCTAGGCAAAAAAAATTTTTTACCCACAGCACAGCATAAACAGCATGAATTGTTTACATTAACTCCTCTTGCCTCAAGTCCCACAGGTGTGATACTAAGAGCCCCAGATAGATGCCACATGTGCAGTGGGTTTGTGTTCATTGGGGGTAACAGTGAGCTTGGGGAGCCCATTGCTTTTCTAGCAAGCAACAAGCTAAGCCAGCTTCTCTTTCCCAGAGGGAGAGGTTACTTCATTCCTCAAGACTGCTTGATGTAGGCGATCCTGGCTGGGTCAGTCAGTAGGGCCTGCTACTCTTGATCTCAGGGTTGTAAGTTCAAGCCCCAAGTTGGGAGTAGACATAAGTTTTTTAAAAAGGGCAAGAAACCTGGGTAGCTCAGTTGGTTAAATGTCCAACTCTTGGTTTCAGCTCCAGTCATGATCTCACAGTTGTGAGATCAAACCCCACATCAGGCACCGGGCTGGGTGTGGAGACTTCTTGGGGTTCTTTTTCTCCCTCTCTCTCTCTCTCTGCCCTTCCCCTGTTCTCTGTCTCAAAATAAATAAATAAACTTAAAAAAAAAAAGGACTGGGGTGCCGATTTCATCTCAGGTCATGATCTCCTGGTTCATGAGTTCGAGCCCCAAATTGGGCTCTGTGCTGACAGCTCGGAGCCTGGAGCCTGCTTTGGATTCTGTGTCTCCCTCTCTCCTCCCCTCCCCTCTCTGAAAAATAAGTAAACATTTAAAAAAATTAAAAAGAAAAAAAGATTGCTTGCTGTAAACACCACCATGAGAAATGGCTTGCATAAAGTGATATGGTAGAAGGCCTCTACAATGGCCCATAAGGATTCTTACCTTCTGGTATTCACTCCTTGGTGTAATCACCTCCAGTTGACTGTGGGCTAGAGCTACTGACTCACTTCTAACTAATTTAATACAGCACAAATGACAGGATATTGCTTCTGACATGAGGTTATAAAAAGACCGTAGCTTCTGTCTTGGGCACCTTCTCATGTTCTCTCTCACTCATTGCGAGGGTAGACAGCATGTTGTGAGCTGCCTTATGGAGAGACCTGCATGGCAAGGAAAGGATGTCTTTGGCCACAGTAAGAACCTGAGGCCTACCAACAACTCTGTTGAATGAGCTTGGAAGAAGAATCTCCCTTATTCAAGACTGGGGATGACTGCACCCTGGCCAACACCTTGACCTGGAACCAGGGGCACCTAGCTAAGCTATGCCCAGATTCCTAATCAAAAGAAACTGTCAAAAAAAAAAAAAGTTTGTTTTTTAAGCCTCTACATTTTGGAATAATCGGTTATGTAGTAATAGATATG